CATCATAGATGGATGATGAGACGATGCCATTTCTCTGCGACTTCTTTTCTTTTCCACAAGAATCTTTGTTGGACATCTTGAAAAGCCAAATAAACATTAAAAATGTATGATGTATTTTTATTATAATATAAAATATATATGAAATTATTTCAGGTATGTAAAGGCATATAAAAATTGGAGTTTTACAAAATGATTTCCATTTTCTAGCTATTCTCAAGATCAGATTCTCTCATTCCACTTTTCTTTCCTTAAACTCTCCTTTAACAAGGATCTGTTCCTCAGGATTTTTTTTTTTTTTTAATAAAAGCATATTTATTTATTTATCTGTAGTGATAAGAGTCAGAAGTTTACTGTACCCAGGGAGCCTCATGGAACAAAGAACAGAGCCTAAGGAAAGTGGCTCTTTGTAATTCTGGCAAGCTGGAGACAAGGTAGTAACAGATAACTGGAGGCAGGGTTCTGTCTGTTCTTTGTTCCTTTACCTGGGAAGTTATCTACTAGATGGTGAATACCTGAAGGCAATATGGATAGCAGTTTGTTTACACCAAATTAGTTATGTACATTCCTTAGCCTGTTTGTAGACCTCAATAAATATGAGAAGTACCCTGGCTCAGGGCTCACTTAGAAACTAACCTCAGTGAGACCCTGTGGCCAATTCTACAACATTTATCTATTTATTATTTTGTTTTGGGGGACATGGTGTCACTATACAGTTCAGGCTGGCCTTGAGCTCACCTAGTAGCCCAGGCTGGTCTGGAACTCACAAGATCCTCATGCCTTAGCCTCCCCAGTGCCTAGATTACAGGCATGCACCACACACAACTTGTTCCTCAGTTTTAGCAGCTCTTCATTAATTACTCTCAAAATTATGCCTTGAACCTCGACTTGTCTTAAGCATTAGATCATTCTTTACTGTCTATAGGCATCTATACCCCAAAATCAATTAGTCATAAATTTTCACTTTTCCAGACACATCTTTTGTGAGACTTCAGGAAAACTGCACCATTTTTTGAGTTCAAGTTCCATCATAAGTAAAGCACACACAACTCATTCTAGAGGGCAGATAAGGTGGTACCTAGTAGGGCACATTACTGAGTGTTTCTACTAGATCTAGAGCTTCTCAAAAAGAATGTTGTATTTAAAAACTTGAGATGCTCATCTGCTGAACAAATGAAAGAATTCTTCCTCAGAATATGCACTCTTTCCTTCTTAGCCACTTCCAATCCTTGCCTACTGTTTTTTCTCTCCTTGTATTCAATTTTCCCCTTTCCAGCTCTTCTATAGGCCAAGTCAGTACTATTTTTTTTTCTTTTTTATGTATTTTGTACAGGGTCTTACTACACAGCTCAGACTCATAGCAAGCCTCCAGTGCTGGGATTACAGGTGTGTGCCACCACGCCCAGACTCTGTCTCCAGCTTAGCACACCCAGGAGCAAGACCAGCATGTGGTGCTGGGGATCAAACTTCGCCCCTGTGCTTGCGCAGACAGACACTTTAGTCCACTGAGCTGTCTTACCAGCCCTCAGTACTATTAACTGACGACTCTCCCCACAAAAAAATACTAAATATATATGTATATATAAGCCATGTCATGTGCCCAGAAATAGTCTCAAATTAGTGTGCATCTACAATATAGAGAAGTATCCTATTCCAAGGTACTATGGCTAGAGACTGGGAACATCACCAGGTTGGATTGGGAA